TTACTTCTTGGGAGGAGAGCAATGACCAATCTTGATAAAAATAGTGAAGAGTAGGGACATCCCACTGGCAACAAAGATCCGCATAGTAAAAGCAATGGTATTCCCCGTAGTAACCTATGGATGTGAGAGCTGGACCATAAGGAAGGCTGAGTGAAGGAACATAGATGCTTTTGAACTGTGCTGTTGGAGGAAAATTCTGAGAATGCCTTGGACCGCGAGAAGATCCAACCAATTCATACTTCAGGAAATAAAGCCCGACTGCTCATTGGAGGGAAGGATAGTAGAGGCAAAGATGAAGTCCTTGGGCTCCCATAATCTCATTGATGGGAGACAGCAATGCCTAGATGGAAAGACAAATTATTGGGGGGAGGCTGGGGAAGGTGGAAGGCAAAAGGAAGAGGGGCCGACCAAGGGCAAGATGGATGGATGGCATCCTTGAAGTGACTGGACTGACCTTGAAGGAGCTGGGGGTGGTGAGGCCGACAGGGAGGTGACTGGACTGACCTTGAAGGAGCTGGGGGTGGTGACGGCCGACAGGGAGCTCTGGCGTGTGGACTGGTCCATGAGGTCACGAAGAGTCGGAGATGACTGAACGAATGAACAACAACAACAACAGGCTTGTTTGATTAAAAAATGGTTCAAACTCGTTTTGGATATAGGGGGCACTGGTGGTTTGGATCTAAAGTCAAGTCCAATTTTCACAGAAAAAAAGTTCAAAACTTTTCAAAACTTCCGAGACTCCTGAACCCTTCGTTAATGGTTTCAAGAAGAAAGGAAACCAAAGGGAATACATTCAAACTGGGTTAAACGGCTGCTCTCACCCAGGACTGACGCGGGAGAGAAAGGAAACCGAAGGGAATCCATCCACACTGGGTTAAACTGCTGCTCTCACCCAAGACTGATGCGGGAGGGAAAGGAAATGAAGGGAATCCATCCACACTGGTTTGAAAAGCGGAATAATTTCCACCTCACTTACTGATTCGTAAATGGCGGAAAAAAGCTTCGGAAGGGCAAAGGGACTTCCGGTTTCCTTAAAAACTTTGAAATCTCTTCAAAAAGGAAATCTTTCCGAATTTATTCCGGATTACAAAATTTCCGACTGAACCTAACCATGTCTAGTGCTTAACATAAACATACCTTTTCCTCTCATTCATAAACATCTCTCTGTTCCCAACAATCCTACTGAAACCTCTTTTCTTTCTGTCTTATAATGTCCTTCTGAACATTCAGTCTTCTGCTTTTCTCATTTGCTTTGATCAGAAGACCAAATGAAAATGTCTTCAAAAGAACATTCATTGAGTAATACGAATGCAGTTACACACGATTTATATTCAGTAGGATATTCTCTCAAAAGGTTGCTGAATATTTCACACAGCTATTAATCAGGAGAATGGAATTCCAGGTAGAAGCCAGTTTCACTAGACATCTCACTAGATTTATTACTATTAATAGCTTGTAAGTACTTAAAATTATCTCTTCCATACAAAGATCAAAACGGGGTCATCTCTGCCTGAAGGCTTATACTATGGAAGACATGAAAAAAGAGGGAATAGATGGTTAGAATGAGAAGGAACAGCAAAACTAGACAGAAGTTTATTAACTATTTATTTTCATGATGTCTAGTGTGAACAGAAATAGTTCAGGAAAGATACAAGCCATATAGCAACTGGTTTGTGAACTGGGACTGTGGTGTAGCTGGCTGGAAGACAGCTGCATTAAAATCACTATTGACCGAAAGGTCATGAGTTCGAAGCCAGCCCGGGTTGGAGTGAGCTTCTGACCAAAATTGTGTAGCGTGTTGTCGACCTTTGCAGGTTGAAAGACAGTTGTATCTGTCAAGTAGGACATTTAGGTACCATTTATGTGGGGAGGATAATTTCACTGATTTACGAGGCCATAAAAATCTCCAGCAAGTATGCAAAGAATGAGGAAGTACTTTATCAGTGTCACACACGGATGGTGAAGTGACAGCTCCCCTAGTGGCCAGAAGCTGGAATGTTAAATAGACTCTGAGTGTGTGTTTATATATGTTGTGTTTCTATGGCATTGAATATTTGCCATGTATATGTACATTGTAATCCGCCCTGAGTCCCCTGCGGGGTGAGAAGGACAGAATATAAATACTGTAAATAAAATAAATAAATAAATAAATAAATAAATAAAGGAAGAGCCCTTAGGTTCCTGATTAGTTTTCTTAATTATCCAACTAGTACCCTATAGACTAAAAATGTAGTGAAAGATAAAGGCAGTCCCCAAATTACATACAATATATGTTCTTTACGTATGTTCTTAAGTTGACTTTGTTTGTGAGTCAGAACAGGTACATTTTTAAAGTGTAACTCCACCCAAAAATATATTTTTTCACTTTTGATAGCATAGGGAAGGATTATACTCCTACGGTGTTTATTTTGCTGTCTGTGCCTCTGTTCCGAAGAGTTATCCTCATTTTCTGTCCTTGAGAGACTTGGATTTTGAAAACTTTGGCTTGTTATGGAAACAAGGATGGCTGATAATGTTGTGGCCTGGTCAAATTCTGAGTGTCCTGAAGATGAAGCTGAGAATGCTGGGAATGGTGCAGAGGGCCCAGAAAGAAATGTTTTGCAGTCTCCTGGTGAAGGCCGTTCTCATGGGAACTTACCAGAGGTGCAGACCGAAAGAGACAAATGATTTTCGAGGCAAGAAATATTACAGCTGAGACAGCAGTGCTTGCAATTAAGGACTCGCTTTTTCAAGCAGCTCCAAGATAAGGCCAGGGGAAGCGGGTGCAAACAGAATGATCTCATGGGAGGGATTTTGGTCTCTAAAAGTGGGTCTTGTTGATACAATTGTTGTGAGAGCAATTCTGCATTCAGGTACAGAACTCTTGGTACCAAGAGCTGTGAAATCAAGTTATCAAGCTGTTCCAGTGTTGTGGTTTTGTGAGGCTTAGTTTAGCCTGTTCTGGATTCATGTATCTCATCTTGGAGTGACATAGTTTTGCCTGTCATGGATTTATGTACTTTGTCTTGGATTTATGTACCTTGCCTTGGATTTATGTACTTTGCCTAGAGCCTTTCTCTAGAGGGATTTTTGGACTTTTGGCTTCCATGGACATTACCTTTTGAACTTTGATTCCTTTTAAAATATTTCCTTGCTTTTCATATATTCAGCTTTGATTATCTCTGCTTTTAATAAACTCTTAAATTGGATTATCTGGACAGTGTGCGATTTGTAGTGAAAGAGTATCCAGGGCACAAGTGTAACAGATAAAGCTTCAGCTGAGACACCTTTTCCCTATGACAACTCTTTCAGGATGAATTTCCCTTCCTAAGAGTAGATTTCTCTCACTTCCTGTTGTCTCACCCCATTCTTAACTATGAGTAATCTGGAAGTCAGATGTTTGTAACTCAGGGATTGCCTGTATTTGGCTGGAGTTACACTTAAAAATGTACCTCTTCTGACTTACATGCAAATTCAAATTAAGAACAAATTTCCAAAATCTTGTTTGTAACTTGGAAACTGCCTGTATTGGAATTCCAAAATCTGAAAACATCTGAACTCCAAAATACTACTATCCCAAGCATTATGAATAAAGGATACTCAACCTGTACTGTTGCAGTTGCCACTATACTACAGCTTCCTGCTGAAAGCTACGACTTTGCATAACTGAAAAGGCCACATGCACAGCCAGTAATTCATTCAAGATTTTAATTTGCACAGAAAATGAAAGCAGACCCCCCAAAGCATTATTCAAACTCTAGTGCACTTTCCCCCATTTTCTCCTTGAACAAACGTGCCTTTCCAGTTCTGAAAGGCTTCTACGTCTGTAAGCTACTGTTGTTGAACCAACTGTCTACTTAAAGTTAGGAACTGGGAACCACTGGAACTGAGAAACTTAAAATAATTCTTCAAAAGATTTCCGCTGCCACCATATTAATAATAAACAGGCTGAGGTATTATTGAGAGGTTGTTCAGTAACACATTCTGTGTCACTATGGTTTTCTTAGAAGCTGCTGAAAGCTGACTTGAATAATGCTTTGACCACAAAGGTATTCACACTAGGCTGGTATAAGTTGATAAAAATAACAAGAACGCTTATTGAACAGGCTTGAAATATTCAGGGACAAATGCTTAATGGTTTCAGTAAATTACTGGCATAGAAAGCTTGTGGTTGCGTAGAGTAAAGATCTTAAAACTTCTGGGTAACAAGTCTTAAAAGTTTCAATACGGAAAATTACTTCAGGAAATGAATCTCTGAACGTAACTCCCAAAAATCCCCCTTAGGAATCTAGCCAAAACCCTGAACTAGACTTCTTTAGGAAATGAACAGACCACTAATGGGGTGCTGCTCCACAAAACAGTATTCCAGCTATTTCCTCAATAACTCTTCTGAATACTACACAAAAGACTGACCCAAACTTCTTCAAAACCCAAACTGCTCTTGCTAACACCCACTCTTCTTCGCTCGATTCGTGCCAAATTCCAACTGGGAACCTCAAAACCTCATTTTAAAAGACACTTTTTTCCTTTAGATCACTTAGGCTTCACCCCCATCTTCCTAACCAATCCTAGCCTTCTAACTTTCCCTCCAAGACTAGAACACGCCCACTCAAGGCAAACCTAACCTAAGATGGTATCTCCCTGTCTCCCTTTCCTAAAATAGATGCCGTGGCTTCGCCAGGCCCACTTCCTTAGGCCTAAGCTAGCCTGCTAAGGTAAGGGATTCATTACACCTTGCTTGTGTGAGACCCAGTTCCTGTCGACACCATAATCAACCTAATTCATAATTTAAGAATGGAAAAGCCCCAGGCATCGACCATGTTCCCACTGAACTCATCAAAACCAATCAACACTGGTGGGCATCCATACTAGCAGCCCAATTCACAAAGATCAACCTCACTGGCAAAAAGCCAATTAGCTGGAACCAAGCCATTGTGGCACCAATTTACAAACAAAACAAAATGGATAGCTAATATATACTACACTGACACATGGATAGAAAGATGATGCACAACAGATCATAGGACTCTAAACCACAAACCAATTTTATTTCATGTAGGATATTAATACCTTAAAACAGATCCATAAAACTGTAATGTTATTACACTTAATATGTAACGGAATGTATTTAAACTGAAGGAAGCATTGAATTGGAGGATAAGTTCCAGTGGGAGAAATGAACTCCACAAATCAGAGTTTGCTTTTTGCATTGTTGTACCGCTCCATGAAAAGGTTCACAGCTGAAGAATTCAAGTTCTCAAGATCATACGGAACTTCAAATGTTGGTTTCTCTCCAAAAACCGCAAGAGCAAGGAACACTGCAATGTGTGCTGTGAGTCCCACAATTCTGAAAGATCTCTTACGCTCTGGATCATCATATTCAAAGGTATGCACCAAATATGGAAGTCCATTTAGTGGTACAGTTACGCCACTGTACTTTGAAGGACGAATGAAATACTCCAGTGGCATAGAAAACGTATCACTCACTTCTTCGGGATTAGGATGGGCGTGAAACGTATCGTCTATAAAGGCTACAACTGGAGTTACCAAGGAATCAGTCTGAAATGAAAACAAGGTGTGAAGCTCTCTAAAGCATCTAGAAGTCACAGCAATACATTCCAAACAGTCGCACAAAGGCTCAGCCAAGGGACAATGGGTAAGAGTTCTAGTCTGAAGGTAGAGAGCTGCTCTCATAGATCTAAGTAGATAACAGACCAAAAAGCACTGGTCAATTGTTAGAGGCTATCATAAGAGGGGCCGACCAAGGGCAAGATGGATGGATGGCATCCTTGAAGTGACTGGACTGACCTTGAGGGAGCTGGGGGTGGTAACGGCCGACAGGGAGCTCTGGCGTGGGCTGGTCCATGAGGTCACGAAGAGTCGGAGACGACTGAACGAATGAACAACAACATCATAAGAGCTATAGAATCATAAAGTCAATGACTGCTCAGGGAAGGAGCTCCTAACATCCCATTTAAACATCTTCAGGATTTTATTATATGGACTATCTTGTTTCACTGCCAAATAGTTGCACTTTTTACCACCTTTTTTGTTGGAAAAAATTAGATGCGACTGTTAAATGGTGAAAAAAATTGGGGTCTTCTGTTTACTGGATTCGTCTTGTGTTTTTTAAAAAACTGTTTTACCCCCAAGATGAAGAGAGCTCTGTGTTCAAACTGTCTTTGAAAGGGAAGGCAGCAAAGAACAGTTCGGTGTTCATTTAAACTATCTTTGGGTCTCTGAGTTTCTCTGTTTTATAACAGTCGAACCCCAAAATAGGGGTGCGACTATTATGTGAGGAAATATGAAATATAGATACACATGTATAGGTCAATTTAATATGTAAATTAAGGGCAGGTTTCAGGGTCAAAGTTAAATATTTTGTATAACCCATGAATAAGTTGATGGTCATTCCATGGAGGGAATGCCATTTCTCCACCTGCCATTCAAAAATGTCAGATATGCTGCTACAATGGAGAAAGTAGAGAGGGTTTATGCCTCCTTTAGCATCTCCTCGGATGAACTAAGATCTTGCTTTTTGCTACTCTGCTCAGAGAAAGGGGTGATTCACACACACACACACACGTGTATGTGTGTATGTATATATTAGGGCTGGGCAACCACGGAAAAATTTGTTTCTAAACTCGATTCGTTTTTAGGGGGTTTTTGCGTTTCAATTTTTAAATTAATTCCGAAATTTTCCTTAAATTTTTTTCGATATTTACGAAATTTCGTAAATTACGAATCAATTACGAATCGATTTTGAAACAATTACGAATTGATTCGTTGATGGCGGGCGCAATCGCGTAATACGCTAAAAAACCTCCAAATGGGACAGGAAGCTTCCCTCTCCCTCTGTTGTTGACTGTTGGTGTGATAATTTAATTTTTTTTCACTGAGAAAACAAACAACGACTATAAAACTTGCACCAGACATGCGGAAATAATAACGAAACGATTTCAAATCAATTACGAATCGATTTCGAAACAAATACGAAACAATTACGAAACGAATTGAAAAAATTCGTTTAGTTTTTAGTTGCTCCTGAATGGTTCAATATCGCTTCGTTATAAAAAAATAAAATAACGAATTAATAACGAATTACGAAATTAACGAACGAAACCGCCCAGCCCTGGTATATATATATAAATGCTCTGTGCATGAGTACCCTAAAAACAAAAGAACCAATGAACGAAATCACACCAAATTTGGGAATAAAACGTCTCACAACACAAGGAGTGACCATCACTCAAAAAAGTATGATTTTTGTCATTTGGGAGTTGTAGTTGCTGGGATGTGTAGTTCACCTACAATCAAAGAGCATTCTGAACCCCACCAACGATGGAATTGAACCAAACTTGGCACACAGTTCTCCCATGACCAATAGAAAATACTGGAATGGTTTGGTGGGCAGTGTCCTTTGGTTTTGGAGTTGTAGTTCACCTACATCCAGAGAGCACTGTGGACTCAAACAATGATGGATCTGGACCAAACTCTACACGAATACTCAATATGCCCAAATGTGAACACTGGTGGAGTTTGGGGAAAATAGAATCTTGACATTTGGGGGTTGTAGTTGCTGGGATTTGTAGTTCACCTACAATCACACAGCATTCTGAACCTGACCAACGATAGACTTGGGCCAAACCTCCCACACAAAACCCCCGTGACCATCAGAGTGGGCCACAGCAACGCGTGGCAGGGGACGGCTAGTGTGTGTGTGTGTGTGTGTGTGTGTGTGTGTGTGTGTGTGTGTATATATATATATATATATATATATATATATATATATATATTTTTTTTTTCAGGCAGTTCCTGAGTTACAAACATCTGGTTTACAAACAACTCATAGATAAGAATGGGACTAATGCAACTGAAAGAGGGAGAAAGGAACTTCACTCCTGAAAGAGTTATCATGAGGAAAAGGGATCTCCACTGAAGCTTTCTCACCAATCCTTGTTTCCAAAAGCCATTTTTTTTTAAAAATCCAATTCTCACAGGCACAGAACATGAGGTGAAACCTTCTAAACATGGGCAGAGACAGTGAAACAAACACCACAGTGGTGTTAACCCTTCCCTGTGCTATCCAAAGTTTTGTGTGTGTGTGTATCTTCTATATAAATAAAAATGTAATGTTCGTTTGTGGGATTAACATAACTCAAAAACCACTGGACAAATTGACACCAAATTTGGACACAAAACACCTATCAGGCCAACAAGTGAACATCACTCATAAAAACACTGGAAAACACAGCAAAAGAGGCTTAAAAAGCCAAAAAACAAAAAATACATTACAACGCATACGCAAAACCACATATATACACACATACACAAATATATACAGAAATATATACACATATATGCACACACAAAACACGTAAACAGAAAGGGGGAAGGGAGGAAGGAAGGAGAAAAATAGGGAGAGAAGAAAGGTAGAGAAGGAAGGAAGGAAGGAAGGAAGGAAGGAAGGAAGGAAGGAAGGAAGGAAGGAAATAATAAAGAAAAGAGGAAAGGAAGGTGAGAAGGAATGAAAGAAAGAGGGGGGGGGGGAAGGAAGGAAGGAAAGAGACAAGGAAGGATGGAACCAAAGAGCAAAGGAAGGGAGGAAAGAAACGGGTAGAGAAGGAAGAAAGGGAAAGAAAACGAGGGAAGAAAAGGAAGGAGGGAAGGAAGGAGAGAAAGAAAGAAAGGAGAGAAAGAGGGAGAGAAGGTTGGCCACAGCAACGCGTGGTGGGTACAGCTCATATATATATAGTGCGCTCTCTCTGTGTGTATATATATATATATACTAGCCGTCCCCTGCCACGCGTTGCTGTGGTCCACATGGGGGTTGTGTGGGAGGTTTGGCCCAATTCTATTGTTGGTGGGGTTCAGAATGCTCTGTGATTGTAGGTGAACTATAAATCCCAGCAACTACAACTCCCAAATGTCAATATTCTATTTTCCCCAAACTCCACCAGTGTTCACATTTGGGCATATTGAATATTCTTGTAGAGTTTGGTGCGGATCCATAATTGTTTGAGTCCACAGTGATCTCTGGATGTAGGTGAACTACAACTCCAAAACCAAAGGACACTGCCCACCAAACCCTTCCAGTATTTTCTGTTGGTCATGGGAGTTCTGTGTGCCAAGTTTGGTTCAATTACATCATTGGTGGGGTTCAGAATGTTCTTTGATTGTAGGTGAACTATAAATCCCAGCAACTACAACTCCCAAATGACAAAATATTTTTTTTGAGTGAAGGACACACATTGGGTTTTTGGTGTCTTGTGTCCAAATTTGGTGTCAGTTCGTCCAGTGGTTTTTGAGTTTTGTTAATCCCACAAATGAACATTACATTTTTATGTATATATCTGGAGTTACACTTAAAAATGCACTTTGCCAAGTCTCCTTTTAATCCCATCTTATTTGGAACAAATTGAACTTTACTTTGTCTAGCACTGGCACAAGTCGACAGATGACTTCAGCCTGTTCAGGGTGCAGCCCTATTTCCTCCTGGGATTCTCGTAGAGCTGTGTCTATTTCATCTTTGTCTGTTGGTTCACTTCTGCCTCCTGGAAAACACACGTCTCCTGGTGATCGTCTCAGCTAGGAATTAGAAAAAGACATTTGTTCACTGGTAGTATTGACTTCAATTAACACGATCTTGGTTGACCATGAACTCATTCTAGAAAAGCCTTTTCCATCTAAATATATAAAGGCTTGTATATCTTTTATCCAGTGGAGCAGTGGGTTACAGCGCTGAGCTGCTGAACTTGGTGACTGAAAGGTCACTGGTTCGAATCCGGGGAATGTGATGAGCTCCCGCTGTTAGCCCCAGCTTCTGCCAACCTAGCAGTTCGAAAACATGCAATTGTGAGTAGATCGATCTGAATGAATGAATGGTTTATTGTACTAGCCATAGCCCATGACATCACCTAATATACAACCTTTAAAAGTATAATAATAATAATAATAATAATAATAATAATAATAATAATAATAATCTTTATTTATTCCCCGTGACCATCTCCCCAAAGGGGACTCGGAGGAGCTTACATGAGGCCAAGCCCAGCGATACATAACAGCAACATAAAATATAAACAACAAAATAACATCACAATAAAATAAATAAAACAAACAAGTAAAATAAACAGTACAAAATAAAACAATGGAAAATAAAACACAGTGGGCGGGCCAAATACAAAAGTACAATAAGCACTTTCCAATATAAACATTAAAACTTATTCCATACACTGGCTCTTTAAAAGCATAGTAACAGTGACACGATAACAATAACAAATGCCTAATTTGTATCATCCCAAACTATCTCCATTTCCATGTATGTGAGGCATTAAATTATGTGAGGCATTACAGTCCAACAAATTCTTATGTTGGAAACCACTTTGAGTCCCCTGCTAGGGCGAGGAAAGTGGTATACAAGTGAAGTACACAAATAATTATTCATTTATTGTTTATAATGATTTGATCTATTTGTTATGTCTTGTTGGCATTGAATGTTTGGCAAGACCCCTCGGTGGTGCAATGGGTTAAACCCTTGTGCTGGTAGGACTGCTGACCGAAAGCTCGGCGGTTCAAATCCAGGGAGTGGGGTAAGCTCCCATCTGTCAGCTCCAGCTTCTCTTTTTTAAAATATAATTTTTATTAAGGGTTTTTTACAGTGAGGGTTAAAAACAGTAGGGGTTGGGGATGTCAGCTCCTGCTTCTCATGCAGGTACATGAAAGAAGCTTCCCACAGGATGGTGAAACATCCAGGCATCCCCTGGGCAACATACTTGCAGATGGCCAATTCTCTCTCACCAGAAGCAGTTTCTCAGTTGCTCCTGACATAAAAAAATTGGAATTTTTGCTGGCCTGAGTCTCCTTGGGGAGATAGGGCAGAATAAAAATAAAATAAAATGATAATAACTAGCTGTCCCCTGCCACGCGTTGCTGTGGCCCAGTCTCTTGATCTGGAAAATAAAGGAATGAGAAAGTGTTGATTTCTAATATATGTAATTTCTTTCTGCTTGTGGGTAAATAGTATTTCTTGCTGTTTCTTTGTCAGTGTTGATTTGGAGAGTGTCTGGTTTGCCCACCCCGGAACATGCAACATATCATTGTCCTTCTTTAAGGGTCCTTTTCAAATCATGTGTGTGTGAATCATATCTATTAGGCCTGGTTGATCAAGAAAAAATTTGGTTCTAAAATCGATTTGTAATTGGGGTGTTTTTTTGTTTCGATATTTAAAATAATTACAAAATTTTCCCCAAAAAAAGTTTCGGTATTTACGAAATTTCGTAAATATTAACGAATTGATTCGTTAAGTTGGCGGACCCCCGCGCATGCGCAAAATCACTTCCGAAGCTTCGTTATTGGGGCGGGGTCGATTCGTTAAGGTTATAACGAATCGATTCGTTAAAACGGCGGACGCGATTGCGCATGCGCAAAAGCGACTTCCGAAACTTCGTTATTAAATACGAATCGATTCGCTATTAGAATAATAACGAATCGATTCGTTAAAATGGCGGACGCGATTGCGCAATGCAAATGCTCTATAAACAAAATCATTTCATAAAATAAATCAAATAAAATAATCAAATAGAACAAGATATTAAGATATTAAATAAAAAAGTAATAAGATAAAGTATCCAAAACTGAGTCAATTTAATAATATAATGAAATAAACAATAATATAATAATAAAATTTAAATAAATAAAATATAAATAATAATAATAATAATAATAAATAATAAATAATATAAAATTATATAATATATACAATATAAAATAAAATAATATAATCTAATAATATATTATTATATATATTATATAAATAATAATATAAATATTTAAATAAAATATAATTAAATTTATAAAATATTTATAAAATATAATTATAAATAATAATAAAAATATATAAAATTAAATTATAAATTATTAATATATAAAAATAATGTTATTATAAAAACTTAGAAAGTAAATATAAGAAATAAATAAAGAAAAAGTAACAAAAAGTAACAGAAATTGCACTTTGAAAAAACTCTGAAAATTATCTGGGAAGTATTGCATACAAGCATTGCATTTCTGTAGCAGTATTGCAAGTTAAGTAAGAAGGACCAACTTCACATTTGGGGGTGGTGTATCTTAATGTGCATCCTTAGCCCTGTTGTGGCAAGATGCCTCATATCTTTTCCTCTGCTGACGCTCACACCGCAATGCCTGCAAACTGCCAAAGTGGCCCTCTCATTATGGACGTCGTAATGATCCCATAGGAGCGATCTCGGCCTACCCCTACTAGGCACTTCAGATGTACTCATGCTCGTGTTTGGACTGTCGGTGTTTGTGGAAGGGAGTATAATCGTTGGTTGTTTCTGTAGCTCGCCCTCCATCAGCATGCAGTCCTCTTGATCACTAATTCCTGTGGTGGAAGCACATTCCATCTTGTCTTCCTCCCATTCCTTTCCTCTGACACGTCCGCCTCCTCGCCCTCCTCTTCATAACAAGTAATATCAGAGGTACTTGGAACGACATCAGGATCTAAACGTAGAGTCTTTCGAACTGATGAAGAAGAAGGTTCTGCCATCTCACAGCTGGTTGAAGCATCTGTGGGTGTTTCAATAACCATCTCGTTGGATGAATGTTCCCTTCTTGTCAATGTGTTCATCTTCAGTCCCCTGCCTTTCTTCGGTATTCGCGATAGCACTTGGCCCTTGCGACTAGAAAAGCCGGGAAGGAAGCGTTTCATCATACTGGTTGGAACTACACAAATAATGAGCAAAGGAGCGCACTGGTTGGAACTACACAAATAATGAGCGAGCACTGTATTATAGCACTTTGTGTTGGCAAAAGGAGCGCACTGGTTGGAACTACACAAATGAGCGAGCACTGTATTATAGCACTTTGTGTTGGCAAAAGGAGCGCACTGGTTGGAACTACACAAATGAGCGAGCACTGTATTATAGCACTTTGTGTTGGCAAAAGGAGCGCACTGGTTGGAACTACACAGATGAGCGAGCAGTGTATGTAGCACTTTTTGGCAAAAGGAGCGCACTGGTTGGAACTACACAAATGATGAGCGAGCAGTGTATGTAGCACTTTGTGTTGGCAAAAGGAGCGCACTGGTTGGAACTACACAAATGACAAACGCACACACAGCCACCAAAGACTCTTTTATTTTTTTAGAATATTTTTTGTATTTTTTAAGAATAAAAGACAGGTATTTTTAGAAAATATTCAGAAATGGAAAATTAACCAAAAACTGGCCCTGATGTGGACCAAACACAGCCACGAGACAGGGCAAACGAGAGCACACAGCAACAGAAGAGTCTTTTCTTTTTTTGGAATATTTTTTGTATTTTTTTAAGAATAAAAGACAGGTATTTTTAAAATATATTCAAAAATGGAAAATTAACCAAAAACTGGCCCTGATGTGGACCAAACACAGCCACGAAACAGGGCAAACGAGAGCACACACCAACAGAAGAGTCTTTTCTTTTTTTAGAATATTTTTTGTATTTTTTTAAGAATAAAAGACAGGTATTTTTAAAAAATATTCAAAAATGGAAAATTAAACAAAAACTGGCCCTGATGTGGACCAAACACAGCCACGAGACAGGGCAAATGAGAGCACACACCAACAGAAGAGTCTTTTCTTTTTTTAGAATATTTTTTTGTATTTTTTAAGAATAAAGACAGGTATTTTTAGAAAATATTCAAAAATGGAAACTTAACCAAAAACTGGCCCTGATGTGGACCAAACACAGCAACGAGACAGGGCAAATGAGAGCACACAGCAACAGAAGAGTCTTTTCTTTTTTAGAATATTTTTTGTATTTTTTTAAGAATAAAAGACAGGTATTTTTAGAAAATATTCAAAAATGGAAAATTAACCAAAAACTGGTCCTGATGTGGACCAAACACAGCCACGAGACAGGGCAAATGAGAGCACACAGCAACAGAAGAGTCTTTTCTTTTTTAGAATATTTTTTGTATTTTTTTAAGAATAAAAGGCAGGTATTTTTAGAAAATATTCAGAAATGGAAAATTAACCAAAAACTGGCCCTGATGTAGAGCTAACACAGGCAGGAGACAGGGCAAATGAGAGCACACACCAACAGAAGAGTCTTTTCTTTTTTTGGAATATTTTTTGTATTTTTTTTAAGAATAAAAGGCAGGTATTTTTAGAAAATATTCAGAAATGGAAAATTAACCAAAAACTGGCCCTGATGTAGAGCTAACACAGGCAGGAGACAGGGCAAATGAGAGCACACACCAACAGAAGAGTCTTTTCTTTTTTTAGAATATTTTTTGTATTTTTTTAAAGAATAAAAGACAGGTATTTTTAAAAAATATTTAAAAATGGAAAATTAACAAACAAATTGACAAAAACCGAAGGAAGGAATGAAGGAATGAATCCAAGCAAGGAATAATAAGCACTAAGCAGCAAGGAATGAATCCAAGCAAGGAATGAGCAAGGAATGAATCCAATCCAAACAGTTGCAAGCCAACCCAATGCAAACCCTCCCGGACCTCTTCTTCTCTTCTCCCTCGCCCTCTGCAGCAATGAGCTGTACGGCCGCGCGGAGCCGCTTTTAAAGGGCTCGCCGGCCAATCAGAAACAGCCACGGTGCACTGCTTGGGTGCTTGGGAGCGCCGGATTGGCTCCCAGGGCACCAGCAGCCTCCATCCCATTTACAAAACGGGCGGAAGCTCGTTAAAACTATGGGGGTTGCCGGTTCGATATTTTTAAACCCTTCCGGGTTTGAAAATGTGTTTTGTAATCGTTTCGTAAATGCCAAAAATAACGAATATTTAACGAATTACAAAATTAACGAACGAAACCGCCCAGGCCTAATATCTATCTATCCATCTATTTATCTATATCGATGGCTGGATGGCTCTTTGTCAGGAGGACTTTGATTATGTTTTCTTGCCCTGATGAAGGGAGTTGGATTGGATGGCCTTAAGTATTTTCTGTTGGTCATTGGGGTTCTGTGTGGGAAGTTTGCCCCGATTCTGTCATTTGTGGGGGTCAGAATGCTCTTTGATTGTATGTGAACTGTGAATCCCAGTGCCTACAACTCCCAAATGTCAAGGTCTATTTCCCCAAATGCCATCTGTATTCATATTTGGGCATATTGAGTGCTTGTCCCAAGTTTGGTCCAGATCCATCATTGTTTGAGTCCATAGTGCTCTCTGAGTGTAGGTGAACTACAACTCCAAAACTCAAGGTCAATGCCCACCAAACCCTTCCAGTATTTTCTGTTGGTCATGGGAGTTCTGTGTGCCAAGTTTGGTTCAATTCCATCGCTGATGGAGTTCAGAATGCTTTTTTATTGTAGGTGAACTATAAATCCCAGCAACTACAACTCCCAAATTACAAAATCGTAATTTTTTGAGTGATGGTCACTCCTTGTGTTGTGAGGCATTTTGTTGCCAAATTTGGTGCAATTTCGTTCATTGGTTCTTTTGTTTTTAAGGAACTCATTATGCACAGAGCATTTTTTTATATATAGATGATGATGATGATGATGATGATTATTATTATTATTATTATTTCTAGCCTCTGCTGTGTTTACTAATTTAGCTCGGTTTTTTTGGGATACGACTGAAAATGTGGCAACCTTTAATGTTATATTTTTGGAATGAGTAGATCAATAGGTGGGAAGGTAATGGCGCTCCATGCAGTCACGCTGGCCACATGACTTTGGAGGTGTCTACAGACAATGCCTGCTCTTTGGCTTAGAAATAGAGATGAGCACCAACCCTCAGAGTCAAATACGACTAGACTTGATGTCAGGGGAAAACTTTACCTTATCTTTCGCTCACACCCTGATCTCCGTGCAGTGAAATCTATACTTATACTTACTTAATATAAGATACAGCTTCAGTGTTTCAACCACGCAACACAAATAAACTAAATATCTTACTTCTATCGCTGTTTCATTTTTACAATGCAACTTCAGTGATCTTATGTGGCCTAAAAGCATGGTAGCACATCTTACAAAGAATGAATGGAATGGGTTTTGATATTCAGACCTTCATACCTGCATTGATCTCACTGTGAAAAGAAGGTGTAGTTCTCCATCCTTAACCATCAGTGGGAGAAGAACAGAGGCCTTTCTCCCTGGAAGATGGGAAAATCTCTCTCCGATGTCGAATTTCTTCAACTGCAGTTTTGCTTTATCTTTCAGATTCATTCTACAATTTTTAAAAAATTGAAAAAGAGATTTTTCATTCCAAGATTTTTTTGGTCAGTTTACGCAAAGATTCCAATTATAATAAAAGACCAATCCTGTCCATATTCTGAGTAATATGAATAGTACGAAGATACCTCGGGATTTATCAATGGGGGAGTTTATTTATTTATTTATTTATTTATTTACTCTATTTGTATACCGCATATATCAGCCTGAGGCGGCGACTCAATGCGGTTTACAATAAAAAGCAACACTAAACAATGTATGAGACACACAATACAGACAAACACATAATCATCAACGCCACACTTAGAATCAGATTCCGATCTCAAGATCCTTTTTCCATTCCTTGTCCGATGCCGTCATTATTGAGTTAGTTGCCGAAAGCCTGCTCGTAGAGCCACGTCTTCACCCTCCTCCGAAACACCAGTAACGAAGGGGCCTGCCTGATGTCCACCGGTAACGCATTCCATAGCCGAGGGGCCACCACCGAGAAGGCCCTGTCTCTCGTGCCCGCCAGCCGTGCTTGTGACGCTGGCGGGACAGCCGAGGGGCCACCACCGAGAAGGCCCTGTCTCTCGTGCCCGCCAGCCGCACTTGTGACGCCGGCGGAACCGAGAGCAGGGCCTCCCCGGAAGATCTTAACGCTCTTCCCGGTTCGTAGGAGGAGATGCGTTCGGAGAGGTAAGTGGGGCCGGAACCGTGTAGGGCTTTATAGGCTAAAGCCAGCACCTTAAATTGTGCCCGGTAGCGAATTGGCAGCCAGTGGAGCTGGTTCAGCAGGGGGGTGGTGTGCTCCCTGAGAGCCGCTCCCGTTAGCAACCTGGCTGCCGAGCGCTGGACCATCTGAAGCTTCCGGGCAGTCTTCAAGGGCAACCCCACGTAGAGCGCGTTGCAGTAGTCTATACGGGATGTGACAAGAGCGTGGACTACCGTAGCCAAGTCCGACCTCCCAAGTTTATGGCACTGTCTTGTGGGTTCCATGCTTTCTAAGCATTTTCCCGAACGAAGCAGAGAATGTTTGAGGACCGGGACATCCGTAGGGATACCAAGGTGCTTGTCTATAAAGCTATTGTCCTCCCAACCCTGCTATATGCCTGTGAGACGTGGACTGTCTACAGATGTCACATGCTACTCCTGGAACGATTCCATCAGCGCTGCCTCCGGAAAATCCTGCAAATCTCTTGGGAAGACAAGCGGACAAACGTCAGCGTGCTGGAAGAAGCAAAGACCACCAGCATTGAAGCGATGGTCCTCTGCCATCAACTCCGCTGGGCCAGCCACGTTGTCCGGATGCCTGACCACTGCCTCACAAAGCAGTTGCTCTACTCTGAACTTAAGAACGGAAAACGGAATGTTGGTGGACAGGAAAAGAGATTTAAAAATGGCCTCAAAGCCAACCTTAAAAACTCTGGCATAGACACTGAGAACTGGGAAGCCCTGGCCCTTGAGCGCTCCAGCTGGAGGTCAGCTGTGACCAGCAGTGCTGCAGAATTCGAGGAGGCACGAGTGGAGGGTGAAAGAGAGAAACGTGCCAGGAGGAAGGCGCGTCAAGCCAACCCCGACCGGAACCGCCTTCCACCTGGAAACCAATGCCTTCACTGTGGGAGAAGATGCGGATCAAGAATAGGGCTCCACAGCCACCTACAAACCCACAAGAATAGTCATCAAAGAAGACCATCTTACTCGTCCAACGAGGGATCGCCTAAGTAAGTACGTTTCTAAGTGAGGCAAATATAACGATAATTACTACTGATCTCTAAATATTAACGTTTCCAATAAATTTTTATCACAATTATGTGATAGTTAATTCTACAATTCTCCAACTTCACTAAAGATTATGTTCCAGGGCTTTTTGTATCTTATTGGTTAGCAATTCAATAGCACGTTTGGTATTCTTTTGTAATAGAGACACAAGCAAGGCCCAAAATTTCAGCTTGTGGGTATTCTGACATTATGGTAGATGGCATTTGTTGATGGTTAATAAAAGGAAAAGAAGGGGGGGGGGGGGAAGAAAAGAAGGGAAGGAAAAAGCAAAAGGAAGGAAAAGAAAGGAAAAAGGGAAAGAAAGAAAACAGGAGGCAAGAAAGGAAAAAGAGTAAGAAAAAGAGAAAGGAAGGAACAGAAAAGGGAAAGGTATGAGGAATGGAAAGAAAGGAAAGGGGGAAAGAACGAGAACAAGGGAAGAAAGGAAAAGAAGGGAAAGAAGAGAAAGAAAGGAAAGAAAAAGAGGGAAGGTATGATGAAGGGAAAGAAAGAGAACAAGGCAAGAAAGGAAAAGAAGAGAAAGAAAAAGAGGAAGGAATAAAAGAAAAGGAGAAAGGAGAGGAGGAAGAAAGGGAAAAGGAAGAAAGAGGAAAAATGGAAAAGAAAGGGAAAGAAAAGAGAATGGAAGGAAAGGAAAAAGGGGAAAGGTATGTGGAAGGGAAAAGAGAAAGGAAAAGGGAAAGAAAGAAAGAAAGGAAGAAAGGAAAGAAGGGAAAGAAAAAGAAGGAGAAGAAGGAAAAAAAGGGGGAAAGAAGGATGAAGGAAAGGAAAGGAAGAGGAAAAGGGGAAAGAAGGGAAAGAAGAAGAGGAAAAGAGAGAAGAGGGAGGATAAGGAAGGAGAAAGAAAGAAAAGAAAAGAAAAGGGGGAAAGGAAAGAGAAAAAAGGGAAGAAAGAAAAGAAGGAAGAAAGGAAAAGGAAGGAAAAAAAGGAGAAAAGGAAAAGGAAGGAAAGAAAAAAGAAAAGGGAAGAAAGGGGAAAAGGGAGAAAGGGAAGAGAAAAAAAGAAAGGAAGGAAAAGAAAAGGGAAAGGTAGAGGAAGGGAGAGAAAGGAAGGAAGGGGAAAGAAAGGAACAGAAAGGAAGAAAGGAAAAGAAGGGAAAGAAAAAGAGAAAGGAGGAAAAGAAAAGGGGAAAGGTAGAGGAAGAGAAAGAAAGAGAACAGAAAGAAGAACGAAAGAAAGGGAAAGGGAAAGAGAAAGGAAGCAAAGGAAAAGGGGAAAGGTATGAGGAAGGGAAAGAAAGAGAAGGAAAAGGGAAAGAAAAGAGCAGAAGGAAGAAAGAAGGGAAAAGGGAAAGAAAAAGAGAAAGGAAGGAAAGGAAAAGAAGGAAAGGTAGAGGAAGGGAAAGAAAAGAGAAAAGGGAAAATAAAGAGAGCAGAAGGTAAGAAAGGAAAAGGGAAAGAAAAAGAGAAAGGAAGGAAAGGAAAAGAAGGAAAGGAGGAGGAAGAAAGAAAAGAGAAAGGAAAAGGGAAAATAAAGAGAGCAGAAGGTAAGAAAGGAAAAGGGAAAGAAAAAGAGAAAGGAAGGAAAGGAAAAGAAGGAAAGGTATGAGGAAGGGAAAGAAAGAGAAAGGAAAAGGAGTAAAGGAAAAGAAGGGAAAGGAAAAGAGAAAGGAAGGTAAAAAAGGGGGGGAGGAAAGAAAAAGAGAAAGGAAAGAAAGGAAAAGGGGGAGAGGTATGAGGAAGGGAGAGCAAGAAAGGAAGGGAAGGAAGGAGTGAAGAAAGGAAAAGAGGGGAAGGAAGGAAGGAAAGAAAGAAGAGGGAGGACGTTAATGAGGGAAATAGAAGGAATGAAAGAAGGACAGGGGGTCCTTCTTTCATTCCTTTTTCTCTGGGCAGGGGGCGGGGGGGCGGCGGCCTGTCAATCACTTCTCCAGGGGGTTACCTTCCCCAGCCTTCCCCCGAAACCTCTGCAGCCGCCATTTTGGAAAAGGGAAAAGGCGGAAGTCTCGCTTCTCTCCCAGGCGCAGCGTTCACTCCTGCCAGCCGATTGGCTCTTGGCTCCTGATTGGCAGACCCGCCTCCGCCTCGTCGTCCAGTAGGACGCCAGACTTACCACATTGAGCCCTGCGAGTGGCTCTTTGGCCGAAAAGGCGGGACCAGAGATGAAGCAGAGATGGAAGGGAGGAAGAGGAAGTGGGTGTGAAAGCTGGCTTGGGATAGGCTGAGAGATAGGACTGGCTCTACACTCTGGAATTAATGCAGTTTGTCACTACTTGAGCTTGGATATGTAGTTTGGTGAAGCACAAGAGATATGTACATAGGGATGTGTCGTTTGGTGAAGTACCAGGAACATGTAGTTTGGTCAAGCACCAGGGATTTATCGTTTGGTAAAGTACCAGGGATACATAGTTTAGTGAAGCGCCAGGGATATGTATGTCATTTGGTGAAGCACCCGGAATATGCAGTTTGGTCAAGCATCAGGGATTTGTAGTTTGGTCAAGCACCAGGGATTTGTCATTTGGTGAAGCACTAGGGATTTGCAGTTTGGTGAAGCACCAGGGATATGTAGATTGGTCAAGCACCAGGGATTTGTAGTTTGGTCAAGCACTAGGGACATGTAAGCCGCTCCGAGCCCCAGGGGAGAGGCGGCATATAAGTACAAATAATAAATAAATAAATAAATAAATAAATGTAGTTTGGTCAAGCACTAGGGATTTGTCGCTTGGTGAAGTACCAGGATACATAGTTTTGTGAAGTGCCAGGGATATGTACGTAGTTTGGTGAAGCACCAGGGATATGTAGTTTGGTGAAGCACCTGGGATTTCTAGTTTGGTGAAGTATCCGGGATATCTAGTTTGGTGAAGCACCCGGGATATGTAGTTTGGTCAAGCACCAGGGTTTGGTCAAGCACCAGGGATATGTAGTTTAGTGAAGCGCTAGGGATATGTAGCTTAGTGAAGCACCAGGGATTTGTAGTTTTGTGAAGCGCCAGGGATATATATGGTGAAGTGCCAGGGATTTGTAGTTTGGTGAAGCACCTGGGATATGTCGTTTGGTGAAGCACCCAGGACATGTAGCTTGGTCAAGCACCAAGAATTTGTAGTTTGGTCAAGCGCCAGGGACACGTAGCTTGGTCAAGCACTAGGGATTTGTCGTTTGGTGAAGTACCAGGGATACGTAGTTTGATGAAGCGCCAGGGATATGTACGTAGTTTGGTGAAGCGCCAAGGATATGTAGTTTGGTCAAGCACCAGGGATTTGTCATTTGGTGAAGTTCCAGGGATAGTTTAGTGAGCGCCAGGGATATGTACATAGTTTGGTGAAGGTCCAGGGATATGTAGTTTGGTCAAGCACCAGGAATTTATAGTTTTGTGAAGCCCCAGAGATATGTATGGTGAAGTTCCAGGGATTTGTAGTTTGGTGAAGCACCCGGGATATGTTGTTTGGTTAAGTTCCCTTGGGCAGGGAAGGGTAAACACCTTGTAAAGCTACACTCCCAGGATCCCACAGCATTGAGGTCTGGCACTTCAAGTGGCATCAAACTGCATTAATTCTGTAATGTAAATTCACCCAAGATTGACAGGAAATCATTGCAGGTTTTGATTTGGCAATTTCTCTGAGCTAAGAAAGCAGGGATTTTTTTAAAAGGTGCTATTGAGTCCCTCTTCTGCCTCCTGCTGGTTAGAAATCTCATGGCGATATTTTGGGATTCATGATCTGGAATTGCAGGTTGGACACTCCTTGCCCTGAAATGCAGTTGCCCCATGGATTCTGTATCCACAGATTCAACTATTCCATAAATTGTGAATTTTTTAAAAAAATCCACAAAAGCAAATTTTGATTTTGGCATCTTATGCAACGGACACTTATTTTATTATGCTGTTGTATGTAATGGGACGTGAGCATCCGTGGATTTTGCAATCTAGCAAGGATCTTGGAAGTCCAGAGTGGTCCACAATCCCAGATGGCCTTCATAGCTTGAATTGGCGTTGTAAACAGAAAGGCTAGCATGTCATTATTGTTACAGTAAGTTGTAGCAGGACAAGTGTGTGTGTGTTGAAGACAAACCTTATGATGGCAATTATTGTATACAGCTGGTAATGTAGGTCAACCAGCAATCTTGAGTCCCCCTATGGGGGTTGAGAAGGGCGGGGTAAAAATGTTTGAAATAAATAAATAAACCCACTGGGCCACAAGGAGGCCCAATTGTCATTTTATATCATTATATATTATCAGTAGTATTATATTTAATATATTAGTATTAGTATATTACAATACTGTGTATAATGATTAATTATTCTATTGCCATCTTGAAGCCAGGCAAAGACCGTAATGACCCAAAAAGCTACAGACCAATCTCCCTGTTGTGCCACCTCTACAAAGTTCTGGAGAGACTTATTCTGCATAGAATTATGGAAAAAATAGACCCACATCTGATTCCACAGCAAGCTGGCTTCAGGAAAGGCAAAAGCTGCACATCGCAAGTGCTGAACCTGACTCAGCACATAGAAGATGGCTTTGAAAGGCAGCAGATCACAGGAGCTGTCTTCATAGACCTGTCAGCGGCTTATGATACTGTGAACCACCGCCTCCTCCTGAGAAAAATGTATAATATCACAAAGGACTACCATCTCACCCGCCTCATAGGAAACCCGCTACAAAACAGGAGCTTTTTTGTTGAGTTCCAGGGCCAGAGAAGCAGATGGCAGAAACAGAAGAATGGCCTGCCTCAGGGGAGCGTGCTTGCTCCATCCATGTTCAACATCTACACAAATGACCAGCCACTGCCAGAAGGGACAGAGAGTTTCATCTATGCTGATGATCGTGCCATTACCGCTCAAGCAGGGAGCTTTGAGATGGTTGAACAGAAGCTCTCCGAAGCTCTAGGTGCTTACTGCCTATTACAGGGAAAACCAGCTGATCCCTAATCCATCTAAAACACAGACATGTGCCTTTCACCTTAAGAACAGACACGCATCCCGAGCTCTGAGGATTACCTGGGAAGGAATCCCACTGGAGCATTGCAGCGCACCCAAATACCTGGGAGTCACTCTGGACCGTGCTCTGACCTACAAGAAGCACTGCCTGAATATCAAGCAAAAAGTGGGCACTAGAAACAATATCATAAGAAAGCTGACTGGCACAATCTGGGGATCACAACCAGATAGAGTGAAGACATCTGCCCTTGCACTATGCTACTCTGCTGCTGAGTATGCATGCCCAGTGTGGAACACATCTCACCACACTACAACAGTGGATGTGGCTCTTAATGAGACATGCCGCATTATCACAGGGTGTCTGCGCCCTACACCACTGGAGAAATTACACTGCTTAGCCGGTATTGCACCACCTGACATCCGCCGGGAAGTAGCAGCCAATAGTGAAAGGACCAAGGCAGAGACATCTCCAGCTCATCCCCTGTTTGGGTATCAACCAGCACGTCAACGACTTAAATCAAGAAATAGTTTTCTTAGATCTACAGAGACACTCGCTGGAACACCTCAGCAAGCGAGAGTTCAAAAGTGGCAGGCTCAAACCCAGCACCTCAATCCGTGGGTGATACCAGATGAGAGACTCCCCCTGGGCACACAGAAGACTGGGCGAACTTGGAAGGCGCTGAACAGACTGCACTCTGGCACCACAAGATGCAGAGCCAATCTTAAGAAATGGGGTCACAAAGTGGAATCCACAACATGCGAGTGTGGAGAAGAGCAAACCACTGACCACCTGCTGCAATGCAACCTGAGCCCTGCCACATGCACGATGGAGGACCTTCTTGCAGCAACACCAGAGGCACTCCAAGTGGCCAGATACTGGTCAAAGGACATTTAATCAACTACCAAGTTTGCAAAATTTGTGTTTTTTTTAAAACTCTGTTTGTTTGTTTGTTTTGTTCTGTTAGAAATGTAATACAATGTTCTGGTTGCGGATGACACGATAAATAAATAAATAAATAAATAATTCTATGGCAGTGTAGAGGGGGCCTTGTGTTCTCTACTTTCTCATCTCCCATGTTACCAACAAATGAATTGAATTCACCTAGGGACAGCTACTTTTGCTTTATTTTTCCCATAGTACTTGTAAAACGGCGGATGCACACCAATGGTGCAAATTAATTATAGGTACCGTCAAGTTGATTGGATTGTAATCTTGTTAGAATGGCCCATTGAGCCTGTCCAATTGCCAATAACAATTTAAACAGTGATATTTGTAATTCTACTGATAATGCCAGCCAAGAATATGGGAAAACCATTCTGTGGCCATTGCCTCCTGAGATGGCTCTTGAGTTTAGGTCCAGATTTATTTCACATCCCTGTTGATGTCACAGAAAACAGCAGGCTTCTCTATAATGTTTTACAGCTTGCAAAATGGATGTGATTGACTTATGGCACCCATTACTGCAAGACTGCAAAAGGTCAGAAGAATTCAATAGCATTATTTCTGTTCTGTCGCCGCTGGACCTGAAATGAAGTGCTTTTAAGAGAGGATGTGTGGCTTGAATCCAGCAGGAAGCCAGGGCCCCCGAAAAGGAGCCTTTAGAGAAATTTCCCTCATTAAACAGTCTTTAGGAGGCTTGAGCTTAAATATAACAGTCTTTTATTGATGAACAAACAGGAATTGTAAAGCTTTCTCGGCAAAAAACTAGTTCCCTCAAACTTGTCCACAGGGAACAGGCACTATCTTCAATAACTTTGTTCAAAGGAAAATTTCTCCTTTCTAGCTCCTCCCAGGCTACTGTGAACCTAAACCTGACTGATTTGAATCCACTACCGGCTGAACTGCGTCTCAGAACCGAGCAGATGTACCAGCAGGCCTGTAGTCACTTAGCTGGAGATCTTGACGATTAGAGCTGTTATTCCCTCCGGAATTCCTCAGGGCTGTAAGGCTGTTTCCCCGGAACCTTTGGGAATCTTTAGAGGCTCTTAAGACTGTTCTCCCCCGGGAAGTCTAAAGGGACGAAGACTTTGTACAGGAGGACGTTTTTATACATCATCTGCATAGACTTCCTTT